GCAAGAAAAGAGTGTTTGCTGACAGGAAGACAGGAGACAGGAGACAGGTGGGCAGCGAAGATGGGCTCAAGCAGGATAAGACAATTAAGAACCGGCGTGCATGAAGAGAAGGTAATTGTATTCTTCCTTGTATATTGGTTGGACTTTATGAGCATCTTACCTGACCCATGTAAGTCGAAGTTTTTTTTTTTCTTTTCTTTTTCTCTTGCTTTTTTTTTTGTATTTTTTTCGCCCCTTCCTTTTCTCTCTTGGATGTTCCTTTTCTCCTTGTATTTTGCCTTTACCACCTGGCTTCGTGCGTGCGTGTACTTAATGGGGTGGGGTGGGAGGGGGGGGGGGTATTTTGCGTGCGCGATGTGATGCGGGTTGAGTGTGTGTCTGTGTGTGTGTTTGTTTGTTTGTGTTTGTATCTTCATATTATTTTTCTTCTCGCATCTACTTCTGTTTCTTTTTTTCTCTCTCTTTCTTTTCTCTCTATTTCTCTTTCTTTCTCTCTCTATCCCTCTCTCTCTCTCTCCCTCTCTCTCTCCCTCTCTCTCTCTCTCCCTCTCTCCCTCCATCCCTCTCTCTCTCTATCCCTCTCTCTCTCTCTCCCTCCATCCCTCTCTCTCTCTCTCTCTCTCTCTCTCTCTCTCTCTCTCTCTCTCTCTCTCTCTCTCTCTCTCTCTCTCTCTCTCTCTCTCTCTCTCTCTCTCTCTCTCTATCCCTCTCTCTCTCTCCCTCTCTCCCTCCATCCCCCCCCCCCCTCTCTCTCTCTCTCTCTCTATCCCTCTCTCTCTCTCTCCCCCTCCATCTCTCTCTTCCATTCCTCCCTTTATCTCCTTGTCTACATATATATGTCGTATACCCAGCTTCATCATATTTTATTCACACATGGGAACACATGCACATTAGCTACAGCAGTAAATCCAGCTTTCCTTTGCATTATAATTCATATTCAATCATATGATGTCTTTGCAAGTCAACATCAATAATATAACAATACAAAACCGAGTAAAGCAGAGCAAAACAAAGCAAAACACACACACACACACACACACACACACACACACACACACACACACACACACACAGATATATATATACATATATATATATATATATATATATATATATATATATATATATATATATATATATATATATATATATATATATATATACATACACATACATACAAATATACGTTGGTAGATAGATAGATAGATAGACAGATAGATAGATAGACAGATAGACAGACATTTGCCCTCACCTATTTTGACTTAAGATGAGGAAATTAATCATGTGACTAAGTAAGTTTCGCGATAAGTTTGCTAAAATAATTAAGATCATTATATTTCCAATATTTCTGAGGGGGAAAAAAAACATCACATACTGCTAATTACTGCCCGTAATTAAGATAAAATTACCCAAGATTACAGAAAAATATGTTTTAATGGCCAGATGTTTTTTTTTTTTTTTTTTTTTTTTGTTCCCTCGTCTTTTTTTTTTTTTTTTTTTTTTTTCTTTCCGTGATATACGAAAAGGTGCGAGGAGGAGGAGAAGATGACAAGGAATTATTAAAGAGGAAGAAAATATAAAGGAAAATGTGGAGAGAAAGACGAAGATATTTATGAAATAATGATGGAATGAAGAACAGGAGGAAAAAGAAGGAGATAATGGAGAGAAAAAGAAAAGTAGAGAAAAACAAGAACGACAGAATTGAAAAGGTTAAATGATAAAGATATAATAATGATATAACAAAAGTGCTAATGATGTTGATAATGGTAATTAAAATAATAGCAATAATAACAGTAACAATAACAACAACAAGAACAACAACAACAACAACAACAATAATAATTATAATAATGATAATAATAATAGTGATAATAATAATGATAATAATAATAATAATAATAGTGATAATAATAATAATGATGATGATAATGATAACAGTAATGATAAGAAAGATTAAAACAACAACAATAAAAACAATAATAATAAAGATGATAATATTATTAATAAGAATAATAATGGTAATCAAAACAATAATAAAATCCATAATAACATTAGTAAAAATAATAGTAATAATGAAAATAATAATGATGATGAAAATGATAATGATAGCAATGGCAATAATCAGTTTAATGGTAATAACAATCAGAAAAACAACAACAAGTGTAATAACAACGACAATAATGATAATAATATTGATAATAATAATATTAGTAATATTAGTAATAATTAACATTAATGTTGATTATGTAAATAGATAAACAAATAAATAAATGAATTATGTTGTTAATTAATTAATTGATAATATTAATTGATTTATGATATTAATTAATTGATAATAGTTAATATAATTAGTACAATTAGATAATTGATATAATATAAGCATAATTATAACTTATTAATATAATTTGATATTATCAATACAAATAAATATTATGAACATAATCAAATATTATTAATAAAATTAAATGTTATGTTTAATTAAGTAATATGTATTAATATAATTAGATAATTAACATAATTGATATAATGAAATAATTAATTTGATTAATATCATAAAATTCATGAATTATATTAGTTATATTGATTATATTAATATTAATCATTATTGATATTGATATTGATATTAGAAATAATCAATATTAATATTAGTAATATCAATAATATTAGTAAATGTATCATAATTCAGAATGATGACAATGATAATAATGATAATATTAATAATGATAATAATAATAATAATAATAATAATAATAATAATAATAATAATGATAATGATAATAATAATAATAATAATAATAATAATAATAAATAATAATAATGATAATGACAATAAATTATTATGATAATAATGATAATAATATCAAAACAACAATGACAATATGGGTAATAACAATAATAATAATAGTAGTAATTGTAATCATGATAACATTAATAATAATAATAGTAATAATAATAATAATAATAATAATAATAATAATAATAACAGTAATAATAATAATGATAATAATGGTGATTACAATAATGATGATGATAACAATAGTAAGAATAAGTAATAATAATAACGAAAAAATAATTATAATGATACCAACAATAATGATGAAGATAAAACAGTGATTGTGGTATTGATAACAGTATGATGATAACAATCGTAATGATATTAATTAAAATATGAATGAGATTTAGAACTAAGAGTTATAATGAAGTTGTAATGAAGATACCCATAATAATGATAATAATGATAATGATGATAATGATGATTATTATTATAAACAGAGTATTATTATCATAATAATAATAATCATCAAAATGGTGATAATAATGAGGATAACAATAATGATGATAATGATAATGATAAAAAGTTGTAGTAGCAGTAGTAGTAGTAGTAGTGGTAGTAGTAGTAGTAATAGTAATAATAATGATAATAATAATAATAATAATAATAACAACAATAATTAATAATAATAATGATAATATAATAATGATAGTAATAATAATAATAAGAATAACAACAACAACAACAGCAATGATAATAATAATAATAATAATAATAATAATAATAATAATAATAATAATAATAATAATAATAATAATAATAATAATAATAATAATAACAACAATAATAATAGTGAAAAAAACGTAAATAATGTTTATAACAACAGTGACAATAACATATATGATACACATGACAATAATAATGATAACGACATTAAAATAAAATGTGATAATAATAATAATAATAGTGACAAGAACAATGATAATAATGATAATAACAGTCATAATTATAATGATGATAATTTAAACAATAAAAAAGAGTTATAACATTAATGATAATAATGATGATAATAAATGATTATAGAATAATGGTGACAATGATTGTTATGATAACAGAAATAATGGTGATGATAGTGATAACAGTGACATCAGTAATGATAATGATGATGATAATGATGATGATAATGATGATAATGATAATGATGATGATAATGATGATGATAATGATGATGACGATGATGATGGTGATGATGATAATGATGATGATGATAATGAGGATGATGATGATGGTAATGATGATGATAATGATGATGATGATGTTAATGATGATGATGATGATGATGATAAATATGATTATGATGATGATAATGATGATGATGATAATGATAATAATAATGATAATAATAACGATGATAATAATAATAATAATAATGATAATAATAATAATGATAACAATAATAATAATAATAATAGTGATAATAGTAATAATAATAACTAGAATATTGGCAATACATTTAATGATGTAGTAGCATTGTAATTACCATTATCATTATTGAATATATAATAATAATGATGGTGATGATAGTAATAATACCAACAACAATAATAATGAAAATTATAATAGTGACAATCAAAATAATTATGGTAATAATAATAATAGTAATAATGATATTGATAATATTGGCAGTAATAATAATAATGATAATAATAATAATAATGATAGTGAGAATAATGATGATAATAATGTTCATGATAACAATAAAGATAATAGTTACAATTACTCCTACTCCTACTTATAGTACAAACATGACTCCTCCTCATGCTCTTATTTCATTTATTATATTGAATAATAATCTGACCATTACTACCATGATAATACGAATAACAACACCGCGCCGACCGAAGCGCCGCCACACAGTAACCAACGCGCCGTGTAACAGGAAGCCTCAGCGGGTATCTCTCCATTGGCAACAGTGGGGAGTTACGCCCTGTTTTTCCACGACCCCTTCTGTGTCATTTCGTGCGGAGGGGATGTGGTAACACTGAGGGAAATTTAGTTGTTTACTTCTCGATCTTTGCTATGTGTTGTTTTAATATATTTATTTTAGTACTAGTACGTATGAGTGGATTAATAATTATTGAATGTATCCGCTTGTTTAGTTTATTAGTGTCGTCGTTGAAATGCCTATTAATGCGAGGATTAATCTATCTATCTATCCATCTATTAGTCATGCCTCGTCGGGGTTATGCGGTAACACGTTGTTGGTTAGACTTGGCTTCTTGCGCCTCGAGGAATAAGGTCTGTGTCTTTCAAGTGTCTGGGAACAAAACAGGCTTTGATTTATGACTTAATGAGCCGTGTGGGGGAAGGGGGAGAGGGGGAAGGGGAAGGGGAAGGGGAACAGGGCGGGGATTATGCAATTTATATTGTGCAAATTGCATTGTGTCTGTATCTTTGATTAGTTGTTTATTTAGAAGTGCATTCTTTGTACACAAACACACACACACACACACACACACACACACACATACATACATACATATATGCATCTATACCTATATCTATACCTGTATCTGTATCTATGTGTCTCTATCTCTATACAAATATATATATATATATATATATATATATACATATATATATATATATATACATATATATACATACATACATATATATATATATATATATATATATATATATATATATATATATATATATATATATATATGTATGTATGTATATATATATATATATATATATATATATATATATATATATATATATATATATATATGTATGTATGTATATATATGTATATATATATATGTGAGTGTGTGTGTGTGTGTGTACATACATAAACACACCCACATATATAATCACACTAATGAACAAAACAAAAATATCCTGATGTAATAGCCACCGACAGGAAACAGTACGACAGAAGGCGGCAAAACAGGGCACTCAGCGTCAAATGCTGATGTGTTGCCTTTCATGATAATTACTGCTTTAGGAAAATATCGCAATTCACACTTCAGGCCATCTGTTCCAGGTGTGTTCATGTAAGAAATCTGTTCCACTTCATCTCTTTGATCTCTTGTTGTTAATTGTTATTATAATCATTATTATCGTTATAATGATAGTAATAATAATGATAATAATAATAATATTATTATTATTATTTATTATTGTTATTGTTATTGTTATTATTATTATTATTATTATTATTATTATTATTATTATTATTATTGTTATTATTATTATCGTCAGTGTTGTTTTTCTTATTACAATACTGTTGCAATTATCATCACTATTGTTATAATTTTAATTGTTACTTCATTGTTGTTCTTAATGATAATAATAATAGTAATAATAATAGTAATAGTAATAATAATAATAATAATAATAATAATAATAATAATAATAATAATAATAATAATAATAATAATAATAATAATAATAATGATAATAATAATAATAATAATAATAATAATAATAATAATAATAAAAGTAATGATAATAGTTATAATGATGATGATAATAGCAATGATGAAGATAATAATAATAATAATAATAATAATAATAATAATAATAATAATAATAATAATAATAATAATAATAACAATGATGATGACGATAGTCATTATAATTATCATTCTTTATCATTATCATTATTATCAAAAGCAATAATAATAATAATGATAATATTAATGATAATAATGATAATAATAATAATAATAATAATGATAATAATAATATTAATAATAATTATAATGATAATAATAATGATAATGATAATATTAGTAATAATAATAATAATAATAGCAATAATAATAATAATAAAAATAATGATAATGATAATGGTAATAATGATAATAATAATAGTATCGTTGTTATTACTAATCATCATTATCATTATTATTATCGTTATTTTCATTAATCGTTATTATCCTTATCATTTTACTATTATCATTATTATTATTGTTATTACTGCTACTATCATTATCAGTATTTTATCATTATTGTCATTATCATTTATATTATCAGCACTATTATGAGTGTTATTATCATTATTATTGTTATTATTACATCATCATTGTTTTCATTATTGTTATTATTACCGTCATTATCATTATTATTATTATGATGAGGATGTTGTTGATTATCATCATTAATATTATTGTTATTGTTATTATTATTGATAATATTATTTTTGTTATTATCATTATCATCATATTATTATCTTTATTATCATTATAATCATGCTAATAATAGCAATGGTAATTATAATAACAATAATAATAGTAGTAATAAGAATGACAGTAGTGATGATAATTATGACCATTATTATCACAACAACATAATAATGCTAATAATAATAATGCTAATAATAATGATAATAATAATAATAATAATAATAATAATAATAATGATAATAATAATAATAATAATAGGAATAAGAATAACAATAATAATAATAATAGTATTATTATTATTACTACTACTACTACTAATAATAATAATAACGGTATCACTGTTAGCATTAGCATTAATAATAATAAAAGTAATAATTATGTTATTTTCTTCTTTTTTCTTTTTTGATTCGCGAAGCAGAGCCCCGCCCGGGCTATGCCTATTTGGGGAGCCCGGTTCTTAATTATGTTATTAATATAAGTCCGATATGCGAAGCTGAGCCTCGCCCGGGCTATGGGGGAGCCCGGCCTGTGCCGACTAATGTCGACTCGCTAACAGTGTGTCAGCAGGTGCTGACTCGGATGAGCTTAGTCCTTACCCACCGTGGTGCCCAGCCACAGCAGTGACCTCCAGGCGACAATTGCAACTTCTCGCGCCTGGGCGGGGCGCGAACCGCCGACCCCTCGGATGAAAGGCCGACACGTTACCACTGTACTAGCCCGGAGGCTAATTATGTTATTGATGATGATAATGATACTATCAATATGACTGATGATTATGTCAATGATAGTAATAATAACGATAATAGTGATAATGATATTGATGGCGATACTGATAGTGATAATTATATTAGTGATTATTATCATTATTATCACCTTACTATTTTTAATTATTATTACTATTGTACCATTGTTATTATTGTCATGATTAGCTACGTTATCTTCATGTTTATTCTTATATTCTTTTCTATTCATCATACCCTCCTTAATATTTCTTAAACAATAATTATGATGATACTAATAATGATAAGACATATTAAATCAATAATAATAAAAAAAAACGTAGAAAAGAAAAATATATTGAAAATTGAAAAAGTAACTTCGCTGTTCAGGTAAATGTTCAGAACGTAACAGCAATATAATTTTTTTCCTGTTATAGCTACTTTGCCTTTGTAACTTTTGTAAGCTGATTAAATTAAAAAAAAAAGGTATATATGAAAGCTACATTAATTCGGATAGTGAATGTGTGATATGCTATGCTAATGATTAGTGAGCTGTTATTACTAGGAAATTAATATCCTGTTTTTTTGAGACTGTATTGTCTGACTTTTTCTATTGTGACATAAAGTGATTATTGCCACATATCGTGAGGCAGAGTACGCATTTGCTCATTTACATGATATTCTCTCTTCTTTTATGCCTTTTTATTTTTTGACTGTTGTTAATTTTTTTTCGACTTTTTCTTTTTTCTTACTTGCATTTCTATTTTTATCTTTTTTTTTTTCTTTACTATCTCTCTGTTTTGCTTTTGATTTTCTTGTTTTTTTTCCCCCCTGCTATTTTCCGTTTCGAAGCTTTGAATTCTCTCTTTCTTTTCTCTGTCTCTCCTTCGTACCTCCGTCACCCAGAAATATCTAAAGTTTAATTTCAATGTTTTATTTCAGGAATTCAGTCCCAAATAAACTGTCGAAAGCTTTTCAACACTTTGTATTTTTCTCCCTTCATCGAATACCATTTTCTTTCAGTGTTTGTTGTTGTTTCGTTACTGTTGTTGTTGTTGTTGTTGTCGTTACTGTTGTCGCTTTTGCAGTTACTGTTGTTATTGCTGTTGTTGTTATTGCTATATCCCCATATCATCACTGGAAATGAAAGCTACATTATTTATAGTAGTAATATTTTGAGCCCAAAATTCATCTCATGCACTCGTACATATACTACTATCATAATTTCTTTGTGTGTCACTTATAAAGAGATAAGATTTGCGTCTGTCCATGCAAATCTAGTGGCTAGAAATGAAATGGCATCATCTGCATCATCTGGTCGGAAAGTTCCCGGAAATGTATAACATATAAAAAACAAAAACTGATTACGAAAATAGAACTCAGACACACATGTATGTATGTATGTTTTTTACGTATGTATTTGTGCTTGTATATATATATATGTGTGTGTGTGTGTGTGTGTGTGTGTGTGTGTGTGTGTGTGTGTGTGTGTGTGTGTGTATCTGTGTGTGTCTGTGTGTGTGTGGCCGAAAAAAAAAGGTTGTCAATGTCATGAAAATCCATTTTGGAAAAAAAAAAAAACGCTGTAGAAAGTTTGCTCCGTTGATTAGATTTCAGAAAATGACAATACACATAATTTTATGTAATTAATCAAACTGTGTTGCATTATTTCAAACCTTATAACGCCATTTTTATCCTCATTTACATAACGGAAAAATATGGCTTTTTAACTTTGGTGCTTTCAAATTAAACATGGAAAAAGAATATATATACTGATTTAAAGATTTTTTTCCTCCATGATAATAATAACAATAACAGTGAAAATAATGATGATGATGATGATAATGATAATAGTAGTAATAATAATAATAATAATAATAATAATAATAATAATGATAATAATGATAATAATAATAATAATAATAATAATAATAATAATGATAATAATAATTATAATAATAATAATAATAATAATAATAATAATAATAATAATAATAATAATAATAATAATAATAATAATAATAATAATAATAATAATGATAATAATAATAATAATAATAATGATAATAATGATAATAATAATAATAATGATAATAATAATGATGATAATAATAACAACAATAATAATAATAATAATTTTAATGCTAATGGTAATAGTAATAACGATAATAATGATAATAATGATAGTAATAACAACAATAATAATGATAATTATAAAAATAAATGATAGTGATAAAGAAACAAAACTAATAATAACAACGGTAATAATAATGATAATGATAACGATGATGATAATAATAATAATAACAATTGGAATAATAATAATAGTAATAATAATAATAATAATAATAATGATACTACTACTACTACTACTAATGATAATAATAATGATGATGATGATAATAATGATAATGATAATAATAATGATAATAATAATAATAATAATAATAATAATAGTAAT